TGGTTCTCGACCACAAACAAGTTGTAGTGGTGAGAATTTATGATAAGATGTAAGTCTCAATCTAACTAGTGCTGCTGCATGTATTATAGCATGTCCCCAAGCAGATGATGGCAATTTTGACCTCATTAATAATGGTCTTGCAATCAATTGCAATCTCATAATTATGATTCAGCTAGACCATTTTGTGTATGAACATGAGCTACTGGGTGTTCAACCTCAATTCCGATTGACATACAATAATCATTAAATGTTTGAGATGTAAATTCCCCAGCATTGTCGAGTCTTATTCTCTTTATTATATGATCTGGGAATTGTGCTCTTAATTTGATAATTTGGGCAAGTAATTTTGCTAAGGCAACATTTCTACTTGAAAGCAGACTAACATGTGACCATCGTGTAGAAGCATCAATTAAAACCATGAAATATCGAAATGGTTCACATGCCAGATTAATTGGCCCATAAATATGTCCCTGAATTCTTTCCAAGAATTTTGGAGATTCAATAGCAATTTTTTTCATAGATGGTCTTATTATTAATTTGCCAAGTGAACGTGCAGAGCATGTTATTTCATCCGATCGAGGAATTTTGACATTTCTTATTGAATGTCCAACTGAATTTGCTATTATTCTTTGCATCATTCTAGTTGCTGGATGTCCCAAACGATCATGCCATAAAATAATCAAATGTATGTCATCTAACTTTTGGTTAGATATCATATTGATTTCCACGGGTCGTATGTTTATACAATATAATCCCGAAGAATATGCTGCAATTTCTCATAAATGTGTATCTTCACTAGGCGAAAACACGTAATCTGCACCGGTTCAAAACCCCCATTTAGCACCGGTTTTGAACCGGTCTAGATTTGGGGGGTGCTAAAACCCATGACATTTCGCACCGGTTCAAAATCGGTGCGAAATCAGACTTTTGGCACCGGTTCTGGTGAAAACCGGTGCTAATTCGCACCGGTTTTGCCTTAGAAACGGTGCCAAAAGTCCCCAAAAAGATTTTTAAAAAACCTTTAGCACCGGTTCTTTTCCAAAACCGGTGCCAAAAATGCTTTCAAAACCGACCATCGAACCTTGAGAGTGTTACTACTACACTTATTTTCCATAGAAAACAAGTGCAAAGCAAAAACAAAATACCATTTTATAACTAAGTGATCTAAGTGTCGACAAGAATAAAATAAAATTGTCGTTACATCCAAGCTGTAAAACACTTTAAAAACATTAATTTAAAAAGGAAAATAAATAAGTTCCGAATTAAACTAATTGTCTTAGCTACGTGATTACTCTAACGTCTCCTCACACCTAACCGAGTACCCTTTTACCAACCTGCAAAATAAATCAGAAATAAGAAAAGAGAGAACTCCCCAAAATCAGATAAACTGAGTAATTCCAACTCCATCCCGTAAAATAATAATTTTAGTTCGAAAAATATTGTACACAACACAATTTTATCGATATTATAATAATAAGTCAAAATCAAATTGTCACATAAAATTTATTACTTTAGTTAAGAAAAGGAAAGAGAACGCTAGTAAGCTGGGACTAGTCCCTGTCACCACCTACTTTACAGAGGGTCGCGCGTAACCCCAAATGGCCATAAATTAAACAGTATGTCCCTACTGTGCACACCCATCACTAATACCCATTGATTAGGAGGAAGACTAAACAGCAGTATACGTTAATTTAAACCAGCTAGTAGCAACCATAACTACTAGTGGGCAACCTGTTCTTCACCCTTTCGGGTTTTATTTCCCTTCTTAATTTAATGTACATCTTAATAGATTAAATTGTCCGATCACATTGCACACGAGTATTGCACAAAATCAAATTAATCCCAAGTAGCAATATTTTAATTTCAGTATTAAAACATAGTCATTTTGCAAGACATACTGGTTACAACTCGTTTCTCAATAGGTCTTGGAGACCATCAATCACATATAATCAATCATCCAATTCCCAAGATTATAATTATATAAAAACTCATACGATACCAAATAATCAAATTTTCGAAAATATTATACTAGTACACAATTATAGAAAACTAGTATATAATATAATTCCAGAATATCATATGGTAACACATCCATCACATATAATTACGTAAGCACATAGTTGGCACACAATAATTTAAAACAATTTCCTAACGGGGTTCTAAAGATGATGGACATTGAAAATTACCTTGAATTGCGCTTAAAACTTAAGGTAAATGACCTCCAAAACGTTCACCTAGTAGCCTCCGTCTACAACAAAAAGATAAAATAAACTAATTCAGTCCTACTCGTATTTTTAACACCGAGAAAGTAGTAGTATGCGGGTTAGGACTACTCGTAGCATACTATCTTCATAATAAAAAAAAATATTGGAGGAAATAAAAAGATATTTTGTAAGTCAACAGTGATAAGAAAAAGAAGTATTGGATATTAGATAAGGGGTCTATTATCTATCCCACATTCTCACGACTGAAAGTCGAAATCCAACAACCTTCTTCCTCTAAATAATTTCAATGGTGTTAAATTTTTTTTTTTTTTTTGAAATTATATTCTATGAATCGGAAAGAAAACCATATGAGAATATAGCTCAAGGTTACTGAACGAAGACGAAATTCGTAGAGGGTTGGCTGACAATTATTTCAAGAAAGATGAAGGTGAAGAAGAACCATGGCTTACTGTTGAAAGATCGGTCGGAAATGACGACTTGTGAAAGGTTGAAAGAGATGGGTATTATTTGAGAGTGTTTGTATACGGCAGATCAATTGGGATTTAGAGTATATATAACTTAGAAATCTTAGGTTTAATTGCTCTAGAATATTTAGAAGATAAGACCCAATTTCAAATTGAGTTTGTTGCTAGTTCCGAAAAGATAAGCTTAATTTTTTTTTTATTTCCATTTTCGGATTTAAAAAAAAAAAAAATAAAAAAAAAACTGGTTTCCTATTTCGCAGAAACTGATGGAAAACAAGTGCAAAGCAAAAACAAAATACCAAGGTTTGATGGTCGATTTTGAAAGAAAAGGGTTATTCTTATCGTTTTACAAAGACCCGAAATTTGGGGGTGTTACAATATATAGGTTATCGTCTTTTGATTTTATTGTTTAAATAGTTGTTTATTTGTTACTTGTAAGAGTATGTACTGCTTGTATTTTTGTCCTTCTCATTTATGTTTTGCGCGTTCTCCAATATATAATTTTTTTATTTATTTGACGAAACCCCAACATATAATTTTGACCTTTAATATATTTAATTATATAAGATTAATATTTCTAATAATGTAAGTTTGACTTTCTAAGTTTATAAGATGGAATATTAAATGAAAGGCAAATAGAACAAACGGAGTACTCCCACCGTTTTTTTTTAAGTGACCCACTTCCCTAAAACGACCGCTTTTTTATGTATCCCATTACTAAAAGTAGAAACCCCACTCGCATTATATACTATTTCTTTCTCTTCCTTTTAACCCCACTACCATTTTATTATATTTTCTCCCTCACATTATTTCTAGTGGTCCCCATTTATATTTCTCTCTTACTTTTTCATATTTTTTATTCTTAACCATACCCACCCATATATTATTTTATTCTTTTGCCTAAAATTATGTACCCAAAGATATGGGACACTTTAAAAAAAAAAAAAAGGAAAATTTGATTCTAAATTTCTAATAATCAAATCTTTGTGCGATTTTTTTTTATTAATCCGACCTTTCGATTATTCCACAATAATCCAAGCTTTGGGGGGGGGGGGTGTGTGTTCTATTCTATTAGGTCAAGGGGACCTGCTACCTGTTCATCAGGTATTTTTTTATTTTCAATTTTTTTTAATTCATTTTCATTTTTTTAAATTCATTTTCAAATTCTTTTAACCTAAAAAAAAAAGATAATCAGCCCCCTTCCTCATTGATTCCGGCTGCCAGAATCTCCGTCCGGCGACCCCTCTCATTTCCGGCCACTCCCTTCCCTTTCCCCTCTCTTTTCGGGTGTCGTGTCACCGTTTTTCGTGAACGCACCTTCTAGGTCTTCAATTGGTCCAAGATTGAAGATGCTCCTTGCCAAATTGCTGCAATTAAAGGTTGAAATTGTTGCAATTGGTGGCGAATTGATGTTTGCAGGTGGCGAATTGATGTTTTACAGGTGGCAAATTGATGTAGTTTATGGTGTTGTTAGTGGGCGAAGCTAACGGTGCGGCTGGTGATGATGTTGCGGGAGTGGTGGCTGGTGATGTTGCGGTGGAAGTGGTGTGGCTGGTTGTTGTTGTTTTTGCAGACTGGCGTTGCGCTGTTTGGAAGGGGTAAGGAGCGTGAGATGTTGGCAAGCAGGTGCACTGGTTTGAAGTTGTTGTTTGTGGATGGTGTGCAGGTTGGTGATTGGTTGTGTTATACTATAAACAATAAAACAGAAATCACTTATCTCTTGATGCGTGAATCAAAGATGACAATAATCGTGTCGTGGCGAACCACTGACCTAAAAGACGATTCCGCACTACCTCCCGCTGTAATATAATTAAAGCCGAAACCTAAGCAACTTTCAACCAAAATCAAGGAAACAGTTGCCCGTTATATTCCACAATCAAAGGAAGAACTTAGCCAAAAAACTGTCCAGATTAACTCGGTCAGTCAAGAGCAATAATCAAGGGAGTGTAACAGTCACCTATAATCAAGGGATTAACGGGTAGAATAATTAAGGAATATTATGTCAAATTAAAAAAAGGAAACCCAATTTCTACAAAAAGGTAAGGGGGACCCACGCCGCGCATCGCATTCCCCAAGAGACCCGAGCCCGACCTGGCTCGGCGTGCGCGCGCGTGTGGTTCAAAACCCACCTCCAAGTCACTCAACTAAGTAGTACTAACATACTACAATATATAAACAAGGAAAAAACCTCTCCCTCCACTAATGTGGGATTTTTCCCTTTCATCTCTCTTTCTTGTTTTCTCCCAACACTCTTGTTTTATATCAAGAACTTCCAACAGGTTGTGGTGTGGTGCGGCTCGACTCGGTGGTTAATGCGGTTGGTGGCTGGTGGGGTGGGGTTCCTTACTGCCGGAGGTGGAGGTGGAGGTGTGGTGGGCGGAGGTCTGGTCGGAAATGGATCCATTCATGGAGATGTGGAAAGGGAGGAAGATGAAGAGGAAAGGAAAAAAAGTGGAATTTTTTTTTTTTTAAAATTCAACAATATATTTTGGACAAATGAAAATGAGACACATGTAGGTGACTTATTGTTGTAGGTTTTTGGACAAATGAAAATGCGACACATGTAGGTAACTTATTGTTGTAGGTTAAGTGACCTGCTTGGCCTAATAGAATAAAACACCCCCAAAGTTTTGATTATTGTGGAATAATCGAGAGGTGGATTAATAAAAAAAAAAAGATCGCGTAAATGTTGGATAGAATAAAAAACGGAAGGAGTAATGTATTTAATTTCCTTTACAAAAAAAAAGGAAAAAAAGAAAAAAAAGCGCAAAGTAATCATGAAAATTCTAGTAAATTCTAGGAATATCATCCGACTTCTAGACTCCTCTCTTTCTCCTCATCAAAATCCCCTCCATTTCGTCGTTCTCTCATTCGCAATTCACAGTTCAAAAACAATTTTCTGAACAACAAAAAACGCAATTCAAACTCACATTTTCTCTCTCATACTACGCACTTCAATTTCGATCGTTTTCTTATTCAATCAAAGATTCACTGTTAGTTCATCTTCAAATTTCATTTCAAAGCTTTTCGATTATATCTCAAAAGGTATTTGCTTCTTCTCCTGCACTTTTCTTTTGGATTTTATTTGTTTGTTTTCATTCTTATTTTGCATGTTTGATTTCTTTTGAATGTCTGCTTTTAATTGAATTTTGATTCATTTTGTTCTGTTTCTGCTCTGTTTCTTGATTATAACTTCTGTGTTTAAATACTTTAATTTGCATTTTATTAGATTGAATTTTGAATAAGTGTTTTGAGTGTAATTTTCATTTATGTTCTTACTTCTTAGTATGAATGTTGTTGTAGTGTAAACTCATTACCTGAAAACTTCACTGTTGATCATTTTTGTGAAATTAGGGATTTGGTGGCACTTAATCACACTGAAAATGTATGATTTGTTGCAATTGGTTCGAATTTTCTGGACTGTATTGTTTCTGTAGAATGCTGGAGTTATTGTTATCTTGACATTTTAATTATCAATGTTCATGATTTTTTTTGGGATTTGAGCCAGAGTTAGAGTTTTTGAGTTGGTTTAATCCTGAAATTTGAGGATAAATTAGTTATACAGAGGATATTTGTCGCACTGTGAGTTAAATGATCTAGTATGTCTTGATAATCGGAAGGAAAAAATTTATAATTGGTTGCATTTCGATTGAAAAATTAGTACTTGTATTTGGTAATAGGGATAATATTATTGGTGTTAATGGTTTGTGAATAATGGTCTATGAGTTGTTATAATGTGGTTGCGTTCGGTGATGATCTTTGCTTTATGGATTTGTAATTTATTAGTGAATTGTTGAACTTACTATTTGTGTGCAATGCACGATAGGTGATCGAATATGAATCCTGATAAGTTTACCCACAAGACAAATGAGTCACTACTTGCTGCTCATGAATTGGCATTGAGCAATGGACATGTACAGATTACCCCACTCCATGTTGCCACCACCTTGATTGGTGAACCTGGTGGTATCTTTTGCCAAGCGGTGTCACATGCTGGTGGCGGCGATGAGGCTGCTAACTCGGTGGAAAGAGTGTTCAAGAGGGCTATAAAGAATCTTCCATCTCAAAGTCCTCCACCTGATGAGGTGCCAGCTAGCACAACTCTCATCAAAGCTATTCGACGTGCTCAGTCGCTTCAGAAATCTCGCGGGGATTCGCATTTGGCTGTTGATCACTTGATTTTGGGGATTATTGAGGATTCTCAAGTCTCTGATTTGCTCAAGGAGGCTGGGGTTGCAATGGCCAGAGTGAAGACCGAGGTTGAGAAGCTTCGTGGGAAAGATGGGAAGAAAGTGGAAAGTGCTACGGGAGACACCACTTTCCAAGCCTTGAAAACTTATGGCCGTGATTTGGTTGAGCAGGCTGGGAAACTCGACCCTGTGATTGGTCGTGATGAGGAGATTCGGAGGGTTGTAAGAATTCTATCAAGGAGGACTAAGAACAATCCTGTGTTGATTGGTGAACCAGGTGTGGGTAAAACGGCTGTGGTTGAAGGCCTGGCTCAAAGGATTGTGAGCGGTGATGTTCCGAGCAACCTTTCTGATGTCAGGCTAATTGCATTGGATATGGGTGCTCTAGTTGCTGGAGCCAAGTACAGGGGTGAATTTGAGGAGAGGTTGAAAGCTGTGCTGAAAGAGGTGGAAGAAGCTGAAGGGAAAGTCATTCTCTTTATTGATGAAATCCATCTTGTCCTAGGAGCAGGAAGAACTGAAGGTTCCATGGATGCTGCAAATTTGTTTAAGCCTATGCTTGCCAGGGGTCAACTTCGTTGCATTGGTGCAACAACCCTTGAGGAGTATAGGAAGTATGTAGAGAAAGATGCAGCATTTGAGAGGCGTTTCCAGCAAGTGTATGTTGCTGAGCCAAGTGTTCCTGACACGATCAGTATCCTTCGAGGGTTGAAGGAAAAGTATGAAGGACACCATGGAGTTCGAATCCAAGATAGAGCCTTGGTGGTTGCTGCACAACTATCCGCAAGATATATTTCAGGTCGTCATCTGCCTGATAAGGCTATTGATTTGGTTGATGAGGCATGTGCAAACGTCAGAGTTCAGCTAGACAGCCAGCCAGAGGAGATAGATAATTTGGAGAGGAAGAGAATGCAGTTAGAAATTGAGCTACATGCTCTTGAGAAGGAGAAAGATAAAGCTAGCAAAGCACGGTTAGTGGAGGTTACTAAGGAGCTTGAGGACTTGAGGGATAAACTTCAGCCTTTAAAGATGAAATATATGAAGGAGAAGGAGAGGATTGATGAGCTCCGTAGACTGAAGCAAAAAAGGGAAGAGCTCATTATTTCTGCACAAGAGGCTGAAAGAAGATATGATCTTGCAAGGGCTGCTGATTTAAGGTATGGAGCAATCCAGGAAGTCGAGGCGGCTATTGCTAGATTGGAATCTAATGCTACCGATGTTGAATTGTTGACTGAAACTGTTGGGCCAGAGCAGATTGCAGAAGTGGTGAGCCGATGGACTGGTATTCCCGTCACAAGATTGGGTGAGAATGAGAAGGAAAAGCTAATCGGCCTCGATGAGAAATTGCACCAAAGAGTGGTGGGTCAAAATAGTGCAGTTGCATCTGTTGCAGAAGCCGTTTTGAGATCTAGGGCTGGACTAGGGAGACCTCAACAACCAACTGGTTCTTTCTTGTTCTTGGGTCCAACAGGTGTTGGGAAAACTGAACTTGCCAAGGCTCTTGCAGAACAGCTTTTCGATGATGAGAATTTGCTGGTGAGAATTGATATGTCTGAGTATATGGAGCAACACTCTGTGGCCCGATTAATTGGTGCTCCTCCAGGGTATGTTGGCCATGAAGAAGGTGGGCAACTGACAGAGGCTGTCAGAAGAAGGCCTTACAGTGTTGTGTTATTCGATGAGGTTGAAAAGGCCCACACTTCTGTCTTCAACACTCTCTTGCAAGTTCTTGATGATGGAAGGCTGACAGATGGGCAAGGGCGGACAGTTGACTTCAGGAACACGGTGATCATCATGACATCTAATCTTGGTGCAGAGCATCTCCTTGCTGGACTTTCAGGCAAGAGCACAATGGAGGCAGCTCGAGAGAAAGTTATGGCAGAGGTATTTATCTTGGAACTCCAAATATTGTTTTGTATGTAAATCTTTTACCTTAAATTAGTGAATTGATGTATTAACAATGTTGAATTGTTGTTGACAGGTGAGAAGACACTTCAAGCCTGAACTGCTCAATCGGTTGGACGAGGTTGTAATATTTGATCCTCTATCACATGAACAACTAAGGAAGGTTGCTAGGCTGCAAATGAAGGATGTGGCTAAACGTCTTGCTGAGAGGGGTATTGCCTTGGCTGTTACAGATGGTGCTCTAGATTACGTCTTAGCAGAGAGTTACGATCCAGTAAGTATTTCTGGTGTCCTATTTATTTTTCCTTCAATATTGTAACATGCTGTAAATGTTTGTACTAACTTTTAAATCTTTCTGGTCATTAGGTATATGGTGCAAGGCCTATTAGGAGGTGGTTAGAAAAGAAAGTTGTCACAGAATTATCGAAAATGCTCATCAAGGAGGAAATTGATGAGAATTCAACCGTCTTCATTGATGCTGGGATGGATGGACTTGCGTACCGCGTGGAGCAAACTGGTGGGATGGTTAATGCTGCAACTGGGCAGAGGGCTGAGGTCCTGATTCAAGTCCCTAATGGACCACGAAGTAACGCCACACAAGCTGCAAAGAAGTTAAAGATCGAGGAACTTGATGATGAGGATGATGAGATGATGGACTGAAGAGCTCAAGTATATGATGATGAAAGCTTTCCTTTTTATGGGCTTTTTACCTAATTTCATGGATTAGCAAATTTTCTTTATAAAAAAGGCTTATGTAATGTTGTTCAATCTGTTAATGAGTGTTGTTCAAATTTTCATGGATTAGCAAATTTTCTTATGTAAATAAGGCTTATCCGCTTATGTAATGTTGTTCAAACTGTTTGTTTTGGCTTTAAGTTGTATATAGGACAGCAAATGTTATTTCAGGCTACTATTTAATGCACGACTTTTTTTCAGGCTACTATTTTAATGCATGACTTTTTTTTTTGTTTTTTTTTTTTTTTAATTTTATATTTGATTCTCAATTTTTATATTATTTTTTGAAAATCTTATTTCAGGCTACTATTTAATGGAGGCCTTCCAAAGAGAGGTTTGATAGGTACCTGGACATACATATCAAGGGGCATAAGAGACATTTCGCATGAAATTTACCCATCTCTCTCCTCCTTTCTCTCACCCCCATGTGCTGAATTTAAGTGTACCACTGGGTGATTAATAGTATCACTAGATGATCAAATAGTATCATTGAACATTCAGTGGTACTATATATTCATTCAATAGTACTGTATATTCATTCAGTGGTACTAACTACGTGTAGAAATGGAATCACTACATAGTCAATGATATTATATAAGCTTTCAGTGGTACATTTAAAACTGGTCTCACGTGCCCATCCCTCTCCTCCTTTTCTCCCACCCCCATGTGCTTTACAATACTTTTTAATATTTTAATGTTTGATATGTATTTGCACATACATATCAAACCTACATTAGTACTTCCTCCTATTTAATGCATGACTTATTTTTTTTCTCCATATTAGGTATCTCCGAATTAATTGCAAGTCTAGCAAGTTGCAACTTTAAATCCTAGTATAATATTAGCAATTTAGCTTCACTTTGGAGATGCAGTGACAAATACAGTATTAATAAGAATTAATCAAGGTGTAGGCAAAATCATTTACTCCGTTCTTAAATACATGAAGCATATCAATGATATCATAACGGGTAGCATGAGTAAATAAAGCTTGAAAGTACAAGATGTACCATGTATTGTGTATATTTTTTTGGGGAGAGAGAGAGAGCAAGGAGAAGAGGTATAGACGGAATTTGATTATTTGATTTCAGGTTTTAGATATCATCTCTTAAATCTTTAACTAATTAAGTTAGTTGATTATCCACAATAGTATTGTGTATAGGTAAATTGATTTTTTAGTATGTAGTGTATTGTATAATTTGTACGTAATTTAAATTGGGGCAAATTTTTACAAGCACTTGAGAAGAGTGTAATCGTGAAAATAGTGAATGGAAGTGCTCTTTATATATCTCCCACACCCCTTTTTTTTTAGGGGTAAGAAGAGCTATCCTATTGGCGTGGAATCTCTCATAAGTCAATTCGATCGAGTTAGCCGGTAGACACTCTCGACAGTGAGGAAAAAGGTAAAAGGACTTCATTCTCGAAGTGTCTCTTATAAGAATTAAATTCTCAATTTTCAAGATTATAACGAGTCTTTTTACCGATTACCAGGCCATTAGATAAAAAATGTTACATCTCCAATGGTGGGACTTGAGGGAGTTTTTTTAGGAGAGAGAGAGTATTTTTTGCAAAGGATACCAATAACTTTGAATCTCATTTAACAAAATGTGTGGGCTCTTTATCAATATTATAATATCTTTTGTAATTTATTTAAGTTTTATTTTATTTTATTTTTTAAAAAAAACTTACAATATGGATTGGTGGGCCATAAATTGAAAGTGATATTAGTATACTTTAAAGAGTCTTTATCATTGGGAAGTTAGACTTCATGAATTACTATATTGAGAAGTGGGTTGAATATCATCATTAAAGGTAAAAAACAACTCATTTTTTATTTCAATACTCAAAGTTTAGTCTCACCAATAAGGATGGTCAACAATAATTTTATTAATGTATTTTTCCCGTCAAACAATCGATTTAGTATAGAAGTAATTAGGCGACGTCATACGGAGTAGAGTGGTAGTTAGAATGTGTGGAATATATATGCTCACTAGTACTACAAAAATCAATCAAATCTATCCAATTAATTGTCATTATTTTATCCAATAAAATTTCATTAGTATGACATATTCAATGCGCCTAACTTTATTACTATTGGTATATTAATACCTTTATTTTATTTTATATATATATATATATATATATATATATATATATATATATATATATTTTGTTTGTTTGTTAGTTTAGAGAGTCATAGGGTGGATGATCAGAATCGATCACGGGATCCTCAAAAATCGGGAGGGAAGCTCTAACCACTTAAGTTATCCCTCACTCTCTATTTTAATTATACTAGAGTGTATCCATGCTAATACACGGTATATACGTAGCATGTCTGCATGTATATTTCGAAAGAAAAATAATAGGAGATGTGGAAGTTATAAAAAAAAATGGAGAAGTGAAAGTCATTTAATGGGAGGTTAGGTTATACCTAAAAAAAATAAAAAAATAAAATGCATGAGATTTGAGAATTTAGCTTTTGAAGTATTGTGGTTAAATTGACTCTGTAGTTATATAAAAGATGTAGATATGCATTACTCCATATTATATATGTATAAGAAAATTAAATTAAAAAAAATGTGATAGAAAGGTAGGTGATTTTAGAAATAGTGTAGATTAAGTAAAGGTAAAAGGGAAGGTGTATATGTGTAATATTGTGTTGTAATAAAAGGGTAAAATTGTGAAATAAAAATGAATACGAATAGTAGTGAATATAATAAAGAAAGGGATTCAAACAAAAAGTGGGTTGTATAAGATAATGAAAGAACGTAGTATATAAGTTTAATTCTTTTGAACTCTGACTTAATTTAAATCGAAAAGTCAATATAGACTGAGCTAGTATTTTGGATTAGTGTTTAGATAAAAAAAAAAAAAAAGGGTTTTATTTTTGTAAATTAGAAATTCTAAATTTCTTATGTTAACGATCGGTATTTACTAAAGTTTGAAAAAGTTATAAATGATCATACAAACACGCATTTAATCAAAATCTAGTTATCAACAAGATAAAATCGAGTGCTCACAAATATAAACGAATCGAATACAAACATATTCGAGTTTGGGTTCGTTTATTAAGCTCTTTTTTTTTCGGAAGGAAAGATACAAAAGTTAGGCAACTCTTCTCTCAAGACTGTACCCTAACTTAAGGCCAAGCTTATTTATGAACATCATATGCTGCCCTAATTAAGAAGTATTCTCCATACTCTATACTCTATTATTGTACTATTTTAATTGGTATATTTTAGGTCTTCACGTGGCAATCCGAATGACTGTAAGATGGCATGAAGAATTGAAGACTATTAGAAGGAATATGAAACTCACAATACAACAACCACCTTCATTGTAATTGTTCCACTCAACTTGGTAACAACTTCCTGCCAAAAACAATTCTTGGCAACAACTACAGCTACTAGCTTTTTTTTTTTTTTTTTTTTTTTTGTTTTTATTCAAATATGCATAATAACTTGCAAAATAGCATATTAATGATATTATAATTGATAAAGCAATTTTTGAAACTGAAAAAATACATATGATAGTAGTTGAAGTTGTGACTTGAATAATTACTGACTTGAATAAATATTTACTTTTTATACAAGATGCAAAAGGTATAAATTAAATCACTTCAAAATTTGTCTATAATCTTATAATAAAAATCGAATCGCAATATGTTTCACTCCATATTAGTTTTAATTTAACTGCGTTTATATTTCATAATCACTATAACACGTAGCTGATTAATATATTAACCATAAATATAATTCTTATTTAACAATAACCTAATCACTAGACGGAGTAGTTATTCCGAATAATAAAAAGATTTGATTACCCCAAGAATATCTCCCTAGTCCCTTCACTATATAACAACCTTCCACATGCACACCTAACTCTTCACAAAAAAAGTACCTCACTTTCATATCATTGTTTTATTACTTACAACAACTGCAATTTTCATATATCCTCCTCAAAATAGTAAATATGTCACCCTTAGAACTAACCTCCTACACCATAGCAATAGCCATATTCATCTACTACCTCATCACCACCACCATCACCCGGTACCGGTATCCTCGGCCGCTTCCACCGGGGCCGAAGCCGTGGCCAATAGTGGGAAACCTCCCACACATGGGGCCAGTCCCACACAAGGGACTGGCTGCCCTAGCACAAAAATATGGACCACTCCTCCACATGAGACTAGGGTACGTCCATGTGGTGGTGGCGGCTTCGGCCTCGGTGGCGGCACAGTTTTTAAAGAGCCATGATGCAAACTTCTCAAGCAGGCCTCCAAATTCAGGAGCAAAGTACATAGCATATAACTACAAAGACTTGGTGTTTGCACCTTATGGTCAAAGGTGGAGGTTGCTTAGGAAAATTTCTTCACTTCACTTGTTTTCTGCTAAGGCTATGGAAGATTACAAACCTATTCGTCAGGTCCATTTAATTTCCTAAATTTTTTTTGAAATTTTTATGTCATAATATTTGATTTGTTAAATAATGCTAATTCTTTTTTGATGATTTTTATTTTTGGTTGTGGTACAACAATTAAGGTGCAATATTAAAAATTAAAATGTGGGTCATTTATTTATTTTTGTTTATTTTGGGTAAAATGTGGGTATCTTCTCTTTTGATTACGTGTGAGGAATGGCTTTAGATTTTAACTTTTTCGGAGGTAACGGGAAAGGTAACGAGGTAACAATATAACTATTTATTTGTTTATAATTTTAATATAGATGATTCTAGATGAGCTTAATAGTTGTAATATACTCTATTTGTCCAGAATTAATAACCGTTTGTCTATTTCATCCATTGTATATAGATCTAATAATTTAATCTAGTAACATAGCTTATTAGTAGCAATATACTCTATTTGTTCAAAATTAAAAACTAGTTCACCTGTTGTATATTGATCTAGTAATCTAATCTAGTATCGTAACAATTAATTGGAGTACAACAATAATTAAATTTCTTTACATATGAAATCTATATTAATTGTGATATCTTGTACCATAAATTAAAATCTCAAAAAAATTGTTACATATCATAAACGTTATCTTATGTATTTGAAGAATTATTCATGTTAATTTACATGAATTAACCTTTTGTTTGGAACATACATAGGAGGAAGTGGCAATACTTACAAAGGCACTAGTAAAGGCAGAATCAAATGAACAAGTTCAACTAGGACAA